TTGACTTAATTGGAACTTTTTCTATATGGCTTTGTAGCTTGAGAATAGGTAGTTGTAGTGGGCCTATTCTCAAAAGGAGTGTATTTTTAGTTTTGGTGCAATTGTGTTGTCAAATTCATCATTTTTAGGTGACAAGAGATGAGAAAGTCATGCATTGGTAGACTGCATATACTAAAAGAAAAGGAAAGTTTCAGCAATTATAATGCATGATAAATGTCAAGTTTTATTGTATTATTGTACATAAAATCACACTTTTATTAGCAATAATAATAATACTTTTTATCATTGTTTTATTTTTATTCTGAATGAAAACGTAATATGACGTATTTCCGGTGAAACAAGCCTCAGAACATCCGGTCGGGCCGTGTTTCATATCCAGGGGTATATAGTATCTATGCTCTAATTTACCGAATAAGAGTCTGGTGTCACGCCTAATATCAACTCGTGTTGCATTTGCCAAAAATGGGAGACCCAATGAAATTGCCGTGTCTATAGTTATTGCTTAGTTACCATGGTTACAGCGTCTTACTCCCACGTTTTTAAACATGGCTGAGAATTGTCTTTGCTGCGGTGCTGCAACAAACAGAGATAGGAGACTTTTAACCTCTGAGTCCAGTAAATCTGTAGTCCCTACGCTAGTTGAACTCTTTGAGAGAAGCATGAAATTGAAGGGGGTAGAATTTCCGGGATGTGCTACATCTACGAACATCATGGAATGGACTACATGTAGATATGCATGCAAAAGTTGCTACAAGAAGCTAGGACAGTTCATGAAATTGCAGCAAGAGCTAGAGGCCCACATTATAAACGTTTTAGATTCTGGACTAGTTCCCAACACTGCAGTTACTGTCGTTAACCCTGGGATTAAAAGAGCAAGATGCCTGGATCAGACCATGCAAACTACACCAAAGAAAAGGAAGGATCCTGATTTATCTGTAAGAATTTATGCATTTTGTTACAAATAACTTTACTGCATGCATTACATGTGATATATGCTGGCTATTATTATCAACTACATTAATCATAGGTTGTCTTTAATTATGAAACACCACGTATGACTCACCTTGTGACTCCGAGAAGAAAAAAAATTGCTTCTCTGCTGGTAAGAGGAAAACCGAAATCTCTCGCACTGGAACTCATCAAGCATCGTAGATATTTGCAGCCACTATTGGGTCAGGTTGGTGCTCTTTTAAAAAGGGAGATGCGACATCTTTGCTCAAACAATGTAGCAGATTCATTAATCAGCATTAAATTAGCTGATTTTTCATGGGCAAATTACTTTCAAAAGATCAAATCACATGCTCCATGCATTGTTGAACTATTAAAATTAATTCTCACTGGCAAGAATAAGATGAATAAAGATATTATCCGTGTTACTGGTCTCATTGTTTCTATCATAACATCATTCAAAAGAAGTTCAATAAATGTTGTTCAGAAGATGATTTCTATTATTCTCTGTGCATCATACATACACACAAGTAAAGTGCATATTATCCATAATGTAATGAATAATAATGTTTTATGTATTAATAATGAAAATACTTGACTATTATATGGTAAGGATAATTTTCTCTATTGCGAGAATTGACACTCAGAACATGAACAAACTTGAAAACAAACATCACAGCAAGAACAAGTATTTTTAAGTCTCTCATTTGGATTATATGAAGAAAACATAGAATACAAAAAATCTCTGCGACAC